TCAGGTACAGTCTCTGTGACAGTGAGAGGCGGAAGAAAATGCCTGGCATGGCTGGAAAGAATGGTCTCTAGTGAAGTCCCGCAAGCTATTTCACCTGTACTTGGGCTCTTATAATATACGCACATGTTTATATTTTTCTTTGATACAAAAATAAAATGTGTTAGCTGTGTAAAAACAGGTGTTTAAAGCAAGTGCGCTCCCCGTGACAAGAGATAATGTCTTATTCTCCCTCCTGCAAACAAGCTTTAGCTACCCCAGTTTCATTTTATGATTAAAACTATGCACAAGGCCATGCTACATGAGAATAGACTGGTTAGTTCTGCCTGCCATATTACTGAGAGCAGAAATCCACCAAAATAACGCCAAAAAGCGGCCGATCTATTGTACCTCTCCCGAGCGAACTAAGCATAGAGACACGAAGAGAAAGGTACCATCGTGATCTCTGGTATTTTCTTTATGCGATTAAGCTACTTAGAACCAGCTACATCACAGTATATTATTAATACGGCTCATCAAACATAACAATTCTTCATGATTTTCACCATTTTGATGCAAATTCATGCAATTTCATGCATTAATAATCACATAGTCTGTACACGTGACGTCATCAGTTTCCAATCCCGGTTACGTAGTCTATAATATCTATGATCCAACCCACACAGTAAATTGGCCGCCATGTTGGACGTCAAGTTTATTAAGAGTTCAGTGGGGGAAAACACATTTTCTTGCCTTGCTACCTTCTTGAGGCCTTTTTCGGAAGCTTAGAAAGCATCCTGAGGATCTAATGGGGTCTAGTAGTCACCTGAAAGATTGCTATCAAGAAATACAAAGCGGTTTCCTGGTACCAAGCCTTTTTCTATCATTTCTCCATTGCTGCCAATGGAAAGTTGACGTCCAACGAACTAATTTTTTTTCTTGAAAGTTATTACGGTATGCAATGAATATAATTATTTTGCAATGAATATACTTAGCACGCATATCCTCTATAGCAATAGATGAATTAGCCCAATTGAGTGACAGATTATCAGGTCAGACACTACAAGAAAGAGTAACAGCATTTGTGCTGAGAGTGGCTGTGCTTGTTGGTGATCTACCAGAAAATATTGATGAATTCTTGTGTATTATTCATAAAATTGACACTCAACTTGCTGAGAAAGCAGCCAAAGATATTGTTCAAAGCTGTGCTAAGCGTAAGTTTACAGATTTATCTAGTCTCATTGTGCATATTTCATTTTGATAGGTGGACAAAATTTGTTTAAATATGCTGCAGTGACAGGGGCTAAACTTACCTCATCTTCTCCTGGCTTAGGTAATTTGTGGACAATGGAGGTAGATTACTGTATTTGTTTTTAGTTAATAAATCTAGTTGTCAAGAGAAACTGAAAGATGATGAACCAGCTTCTAAACTGGCCTCTCGTGACCATAGTCCTCTGCAAAGTATAGTCTATTATTTTTCAATCGATAGAGTTATATTAAACCGGTTAGTTAATGATCTGGCTGAGCTTCTTAAATTACTCAAGAGACATGGCTATTCAGGAGTCACTTATTATGATCTTGGTCTTTTTCTTGGTCTATCACCTGGTACACTGGATGCTATAGAGAATTCCAGAGAAGATGTTTCAGCACGTCTGCGTGAGTGTCTTAAAGCATGGCTACAAAAAGCGGATGATGTTGTTGAGAGTGGTGGCCCAACCATCTATTCACTGGTATCAGCTTTGAAAGAAAAAAATCATAATGCAGTAGCTGATGGAATAGATATGGAAGGTGAGTTTGAATAAATATAATTAGGATATGATATTTGTCTGGACTTGATGCATGGATAATATTAGTGTGAACTTCTAATTATTCATTTTTTGTACAAATTTTCTGTGCATTATTAAAAAAAATAATTTTTCTCTTTTTTGTAAAACTCTACCAAAAATACAGTCCTTTTCTCTTCCTTCTCCTCTCTCATCTCCCTCCATCTGACCAGTGGCTCGACCATTTTTTGGTCCACCAAGCCGGATATTCGACTTTCAGTCTTTATTTTAGCTTCTGATCGGAGGAGTCGTCGTTCTTTCACTCTATCTCTATATTTCAGTCTGCCACGTGCTCTGTCGTTTCTAATGGCTGAACAATCGCTTGCTCTTTTGTCGACTGATATCAATGCTTTGAAGAGAAGGAGAGGAGTCACTCGTGCCTCGGTTACTCGTCTTACAACCCGTCTTAGGGATCTCGAGAGTA